CACTACTCCCACTTTAGAGATGAGAAAATTGAGGCTCAAAGAAGTTAAGGGACCTCGGGTCAAGCGTAAGATGGTAGAGCCAGCACCCAGACTAAGGCCTGTGAGCAGAGCCAATGCTCTTCTCTTCGCCTGTCAATGTGAATGATTCCCACAGATGTCCCTTGAGCTCTATCCCGCTCCCTGCAGCTCCACCCAGAACAACACCCAAGAGGCCAGCAAGTCTGCTTTCCCTTCCAATCTCGCTGCTGAGCGTGACCAGCTGAAGAGTCCCAATGACAACCTGATCCATCTTTCCTCTGCAACCGCCATGCCTGCAATCCCCTAAATCCCTTCAGAGAAAAACAAAATAGCACGTGTTCAAGCCAAAGGAAGCTGCAGTGGACAATGGTGACACAACCTGCAATATGAGCAGGACTTGTACCACACACTCAGGCGAGAGTCGTAACCTTGGCTGGCAAAATACTATCCACCACATACAATTAATGCTATTAACTTATAAATTAGCCTGGTTTTGTGGCTGCACCACAGCGCTCAGTATAGATGTTTTGAAAATACAGATTCCTGGGGCTTATACTTGAAGAAAATCCTCTCAAGGGTCTAGGGGTCCAGGAATCCATTTTTATACATATCCCCTTAGAGACACATCCAGGACTGACTCATCTTTTAAAAACCCTCTCTGAACTCCAGGTCTCTCCCCTCTCCAATCACAGTCAGAATTTTCCATGTCCCCCATCTCCCCATCCATTCCTCATCCCTCTGAAATCTGTCCTCACCACCACCAAAGAGGCTTTTGGAGGAGGTTCAACAATGACCTCCCTGTAGATAATAAACCCTACGAGCACTTCCAGTTCTCGTTTTGTTCAGCTTCTCCAACCAGATGGGGCACTCTTGGTTTCCCTCCTACCTCTTTTGCCATGTTTCTTGTTTTCTTCATAAACCCTCCTTTTCTCCCCCATCCTTTAAACACTGAAGTTCCTCAGGGCTCACTCAGCCCACCCTCTCTCCCCCCCACACATTCACCCCCAGGGGATCTCAGCCCCTGTCCTGAGCAGCACCCCTAATTAACACCTCCAGCCCAGACCCCTCTTCTCAGCAACATGTCTTACATCCCGCTCGCTCAGACATAGAATTCTCAAATTTTAAAAACCTAATTCTCATATAAATATTAAATAGATACTGAACATATTTCAAAGTTTTATTTCATTCATTAATAAGAAACCCTAAAAAAAGATACAAGAAGCTAATATACATATGGCCAATGGAAAAAAAAAAAAGAATACTGATATAAGTCTGCTACATTAGATACCAAACTGGTTAATGTCTTTCAGGGCAATAACCTCTGGGTTTCTCTTGTTTACCAAAAAGAAATTATTTGCATCCTACCTAAGTTTATAGACTACAGGCCCTAAAGAAAAACAAACAGCAGTTATAGCTCCTAGAACAGCAGTCCCCAACCTTTTTGGCACCAGGGACAGGTTTCATGGAAGACAACTTTTCCACGCATTGGGGGTTGGGGGACGAGGGGATATGTGGAGCTCAGGCTGTGACGGGAGCGATGGGGAGGGGAGCGGCTGTAACTACAGATGAAGCTTGGGGTGGGGCGGAACTCTGAGGCCCGACTGATCTGACCACAGCCCAAGAACACCAAATGGCCCTTAGGTGGGCTTCTTAGACAATGGTCTAGTATGACATTAAAAGGTCACAAAATTATCTTTTATTTCCAAGTTTTGGATAATTTTTCTTTACATTGGGGGTCTATGAGTTTCGATGGAGAAAAAGTAAATCTTTATTTTCACAAACCTCTAACTGAAACTTAGCCTTTATTAGGAATGTATAAATGTTTTCTACACTTATGAATGTAGGGAACAACTTACAGTGATTACGGTAGCAGTGTCTGTGACTTCGCCACTAATAGAAATCATATTTTCTTATCACATTACAAGGTGTTTTGAAACACTGTTTATGCTAATCACTACTTAAAATTATAGAAGTTATCAAACATGTAACTTAGCCTTCTTATATGATGCATTAATAAACAAATATTTCATCACAAATTTGTTATAATAGTTTGATAACTATATTTTAATATAACTGGTTTCTTCATAATTCTGTGTTCTATTTAATACATTTAAAGCATTATTCTAAGAAAAGCCCATAGGCTCTGAGAGAAGCCTTTCCTGACTCCCTGAATTAGGTTAGGGATCCCTGTTACACATTCTCTTACCACATTAAATGTTCTCTTTCCAGCACTTACTACCTGAATTAAATGATTAATCAGTGGCTCTCCCACTAGGCTGTGGGAGGAAGGGATGGTGTCTGTCGTATTTATCACTATCCCCAATGCCTTAGCATGGGGTCTGGCTTATAAAAGATTCTCAAGGAAGTATCTGTTTGGAAAAAAAAAGAAGTATCTGTTGAATGAATGAATATCTGTGGCACATGATGCTGGTCCAATTCCTTTAAAATAAAGTGTACAATACTCTTCCCAGGACCCAGCACAACCAGACCCCTTGATGAGAACAAACCTGCTGGTTCCTTGGGACCCTGCTTACTTGGCCCAACAACAGAGCTTTCCAACCAAGCCCACATCTGGCTCAAATACTGGATTGCCTTTATGTTTAAGCCTCAGCACACAGCCCCCAACCTGGATCTTCATTAGTATCTTCCAACAAGTACTAAGGGACCTGCTCGCAAATTCAAGAAATCTGCTGTGCCAAGGGGTTGGAGGAACTGTAGGATTCTTTGGGGGGAACAGATACTCCACCCGTCCCCACAGCAAGCTGTAATGAGTTGGAAACCCTGAAGCCAGGCACGAGCCACCAGCACACCATCTGGGAACAGAATGCACATTAAACTGAGGCCTCAGTATGACTCTGAGGAATAAAAGACACAAAAAAGGCTATGCTAACCCCATACTTTATCTGAGTCTTTAACCCCCCACTGCAGGATCACAAAGCTAATTATTTAGAAGTGGTTGCAATTGGTACACAGAAAGAGGCCCTATTGACATAGTGTGGCCAGAGGGAACAGCAGACTGGAGCTACTCCTGGAAGGATAAAGCCAATAAGTGCCTAGGTAGCCAACCCTCCTCCTGTGCCAAAGCCATCAGGGAGCTAAAGAGCAAGTTTCAAGGACACTCCCAGAAAAGGGCTGCCAATGCAGCTGCCTGAACATTCAAGTGAGTCACTGAGAACAATTCCTGTGTCCCAACCCATCTCTCTGCACCCTCACCCTCCAGGCCAAACGTCTCCACCTTGTCTAACGGTGTGTTGCTTCCCACCCATGTCTGTCCACCCACCCCTGCTGGGGTAATGGGACTTAGCCAGCTTCCCTCACCAAGGTAACTCCGGGCTCAAAACCGCACTGACGTGAGGTATGTAGAAATGCTCTGCAAACTCTAAAGACCTCTACAAATGCACAGGACTTTGTACAGCTCTGTCAACAGAGGCTCCAGTCAGTGTGGCAAGGTGGCGCAGGCAGAAGGAATGGGCCAGCCCACCACGGGTGAGCATTGTGGCTCCTCCCCTCCCCAACTGGGGCCTAGTTTAAAAAAAAAAAAGAAAAGGAGGGGGAAGAGGTGGGGGACAAATAAACCATTCAAAGTCCAGGAAGTGTCAAAGAACTTAAGCTCTCATTACACCCCATGCATCATTTCTGGTCCACTATCACTAGCCTTGAAACTGACCACAACCACCAAGCAAGACACAGGGCCCCACAGAACAAAACCGCAGAGCTGGGGCAAAACTCTCCAGGGATATAGTGTGGTTGGTGTCTCTGTTCCCAAGAGAGGATCCACTTTCAGAAGAAGGGGAGAGAAACATAGTACACTTAAGATCCTTAGTCCCTCCACACACGCCCCCCAGGTCTCTGCAGGGGCCCAGCAGGATGGGGGCAGGGAGGGAGTCCAAGGAACTCTAATGAGGAGATCCCAGCAGCCAGGAGCCCCCCACCTAGTGTCCAAGTCGACTGGCCACCCTCACAGCCCCCTCTGGCCTTCCCTGCCCAGCTCCTCCTCTGAACCAACTCCCTCACATCACCTCTTATTCAACAACCCACAACACTCAGTGATTGGGCTCCTTTGTGTGCCAAGCACTGTCCTGGGTGCTTCCTGTTTCTTTCCGATCCTTTCAGCTCTGCAAGATGAGTACTGTTACCAACATTTATAAACAAGAACACTGAGGCAGGGCCCAAGGTCACACAGCTCCTAAGGGTCTGGCTGGCTAAAAGCTTCATGTTCTTTCCACCACATCACACTAGAATTTATCTTGTAGATAACAGAGAGGAAAGTAAGAGGATGAAAGTGTTGTTCTGGGAAAATTAATCCAGTCTCTCCCCCTCCAATCCAGCCCTACATGTGGCCTGACTGATCTTGTTATTAAAAGGGCAGCTTTCATCATGTCTTTCCATTACCTATGGAATCAAGTCCCAATGGCTTTGCCAGGCATTAAGGTTCTTTATGATCCACTTTTCCAGTTTTATTCCCCTCATTGCCAGACTCAAATCCCCCTTCCACCCAGCCTGCCCTATCAGTCCTCATTTCCCATGTCTCTCACTTGGAAGGTTTCCTTCTCTGCCTGCAACATTAATTCCTTCAGGCAAACACAGACCAGCGCCACTGCACGCCAGGCCCTGGACAGGTGCTGGGGACACAATGCCCCAATGGCTAACGTCACCGAGCTCAGAGTCTGCCCTCCTTGAGAAGCCAGCTCACACCTTGCTCTTTCTTGGGGCCTCGTCCGGTCATTTGGTGCCCCACTGCTGGGCCCTGTCCTGATCCACAGGACTCAGCATCTGCAGCTTGTACGGCACTCAGCTGTAGTTCCACCTTGTGTGCCAGGCCTGTCTTAAGACTTCCGCCATAATGTGTTCATTTCTGTGGGAAAAGTGCACTCCAGGTTCCAAATAGCATTATAGATGGCAATTAGGTCCCCACGCCAGCCCACAAAAGCCTATTAAATATATAATGGTCCCAAAGAAGTACAGAACCTAAATAAGTATACCTTAAAAGCTCTGCAGGGGAGAACAGGGGCAAACATCTGCTTCCTACATCTCCACTCACTGTCCCCCAGGGCAGGGGCAGGGAAGCAGGCAGGAGACAGGAGAGAGGCAAGAACCCAATTTATAATTCAGCAGGGCTGGCTCTATTCCCGGCTCCGCCTTAACTGACGGGGTGGCCTGCAGTGAGTGGACAAGGCCATAGATCAGTTCTCAGATTTCTGAATCTCGCAAATTGGCAGAATATCTTTTTAAAATATAGTTTAAACTATAACATATAATATATATTTGTTTTAAATAAATTTTGTCAAAAAAGTACCTTTATAAAGAAATCACAACATACTAGAACCAGTTTCATCTTTCCAAAGGATACTCTAACACCACTCCCCAAATATGGACAGAATAGTGAGCAAGTTTTTAAACTGACAATATTTGGACTCACAGGGAAAAAACCATTCACCATTGTTATTTTTCCAACTTGTCTTTGGACTGGTGAGAACTTCGTCACAGCCCAACTCCAGTCCTTGGCCTGACGTTTGAGAACCACCCAGCTAGGAGACCCAGAGTTCTCTCCAGCTCCACATTTCTCCATTCTAGACTGCAAGACAATCAGCATGGATAAATAATCAGCTTGGGTGGCCCTAGGGAAGGGTCAGCTGCAGGGAGATGCTGGGCTGGACAGCAGGGATGGGGGATGGGCACAGCCTCCCTAATCAGAGCGACACTCAGCCTGGAAACTCTTAGGACTAACCTGTCCCAAGTGTTGACTGTGACACTTTATACTTCCCACCCCAGTATTCTTCTGGAAGGCTGAAGGCCCCCAAAGGAACATTCTTAAAACATTTATTAACTTTCCTGATTATAAACTAATACATATTCATGGAAAATACTTGGAAAACAAAGAAAGGCATAAACAAAGAAGCAAAAGTCATCCACAACTCCACCTTCCAGAACAATCACATTTTGACGCACTGCTAATTCTTCATACACATAACAATTGCAGCCACCCTGGGATTTGGTTTTATATCCTGCTTTTCCCCTAGTTATCACACTTGAGCATTTTTCCATATCCTTAGATATTCTTCATAGACATCATAAAATACTATAATAATAAACATAACATTCTAGTAAATACATTCTTTATAAATACTGCCATGGACTGAATGTTTATGTCCCTTCCAAATTCATTTGTTAAAATCCTAATCCCCAATACACAATATTAGAAAGTGGGGACTTTGGCAGGTGATTAGGTCATGAGGGTGGAGTCCTCATGAATGGGATTCGTGCCCTTCAAAAAGGGACCCAAGAGCTGGACACAATGGCTCACGCCTGTAATCCTAGCATTCTGGGAGGCTGAGGCAGGAGGATTGCTTGAGCTCAGGAGCTCAAGACCAGCCTGAGCAAGAGCAAGACCCCGTCTCTACTAAAAATAGAAAAATTAGCCAGGTGTGGTGGCACCAACCTATAGTCCCAGCTACTCGGGAGGCTGAGGCAGGAGGATTGCTTGAGCCCAGGGATTTGAGGTTGCTGTGAGCTAGGCTGATGCCACGGCACTCTAGCCCAGGCAACAGAGCAAGACAAGTTCTCAAAAAAGAAAGGATGCAAGAGAGCTCTCTAGTCCTCTATTATACTAACATAAGGATACAAGAAGTTGACAGTCTGCAACCCAGAAGAGAGCTCTCACCAGAACCCAGCCATGCTGGCAGCCTGATCTTAGACTTCTAGCCTGCAGGACTGTGGAAAAATAAATTTCTGTTGTTTATGTGCCACCCAGTCTATAGGATATTTGCTATAGCAGGCCAAACTGATGAAGAAAAACAGCACTTTCCATGGCATGGACAAGGCCAAATATTATTTGACCATGCCACTATTGTTGAGCATTTAAGCCATTTCCATATTTTTGCCATTGTAAAAAATGTGGTGAGTGTACATTCCTGTATACCAATCTCTGGAGATGCCTTTATACTTCTTTATACCCTTCAGGTCACAGCCCAGTGCTCTGCATATATCAGCTCTTAGTGAATACTGAGTGAACAAAGAAACCCAACCGGCCCCCAGGGACCTCAGGAGCCCTTATCAGATGGACACGGCATTTAAATTTACAGAGGCCAAACCTGGTGTCCAGCAGCCACTCACCAGTGCCCCTGTGGGCACGCCCTCTCCACTTCCTACTTGCTAAGCCAACTCCAGGGCTCAGGGAAAGGAAAAAATATAAATTGTCCGCTCAGGACTTCCAGTGCTCTCAGCAACCCTACTTGTTCTTCTGCACCTTCCCATGGAAGGCTCCAGCAGACCTCCACTGCCTAGCTAACTACGACTCCCTCCAGACTCTGTTCAACCCACCACCTTAGGAAAGCCATGGCTGACCCTCCCTCTAAATTAATGTATGGCTCCCATTTAGTGGAGGCTACCAGCACTTAGGGTATTAGCACTTGCTGTTCTGTCATTGTTTGCTCACAGGACTGACTCCTCCACCCAAGCCAGGGCAACACCAGAGGGCAGGCACAATGTGTGTTTTGGTCCCCACCCAAAATCCAACCCAGTGCCAAAAAATGTGATTTTTTTTTTTTTTTGAGACAAGAATCTCAGTCTGTTGCCTTGAGTAGAATACCACGGCAGCAGCCTAGCTCACAGCAACCTCAAACTCCTGGGCTCAAGCAATCCTCTTGCCTCAGCCTCCCCAGTAGCAGGGACTACAGGAGCACCACAACACTGGCTAATTTGTTTCTATTTGTTTCTCACTCTTGCTCAGGCTGGTCTCGAACTTCTAAACTCAAGCGACCCTACCACTTCAGTCTCCCAGGGTGGACACAGTGTGATAAATAAATATTTGCTGAATGGAACTTCGGATTCTCAAGCCATTTGTTTTCTCAGGAGGGAGGGATAAGGGAGAAAACCAGGATCCTCTCAAACAGCCCAAGTGCAAGGACCTGACGGAGGTCTCGAACAGGAGACGGCTGTGTCCTCTGCACAGGCCTTTCTGGACCAGAGACCAGCCCAGACCAACTGGCTCTAGGGAACTGATGGCAAATGGAACATCCAACACACCCAGGCACAGTGCGGTGACACCGCCTCACTCCAGCCCGGTTCTCTCCCGGAGGGAGAATGCAGACCTAAGGGAACATGGAGCTTCCTTCCCACCCACGTCCAGACTGACACCCCCAAAATACAGGGCTACTCCTCACTGGTGAAAAGGGCAGGGTACTGGGAGATGGAAGTGTTTAAACCAACTCAATCCATACTTTTTCTCCTCCCATTTGCCCAGCTCCTTGCCACACCCAAATGGAAACAACTGAAAAAATCTGGGTTGTTGAGGGTGCCAGGAGCAGTAAGTTCCCTAGAACTTTAGGAGAAAAAAAAATGCCAGGACGATCCTAAAATAAGGGAGACCAGAGCTATGGGCGAGATGGGGAAGAAGGCCACGATATTCCATCACACCCACTGCAACACCAAGACCAAAGCCGGAGTCCGGGCGCAGCCGGGACCCCCATTCCGACCTCTCCCGGGGATGCCTGGACCCCACCCCCGCCCAAGTGTGCCAAACTCCTCTCGGAGCCCGCCCCTCCTCCTCCACTCCTGTAAGGCTGTGCGGTGCACAGAGCTTCCTCCTCCGATACTTCATCCCTCAGGACCACCTCGGCGGGGTGTCTCGGCCGTCCCTATCTCACGGCTGAGTGGGCGCGTGCAGACACGCTAAATGAGCCGCCGCGTCTCGCCGCCAGAAAGTGGCAGAGGCTCCAGGCAGCCTCAGGCGGCGCAGGGGCTGAACTCCTGGGCGGGGGCGGCGGCCACGACCCCACCCGGCCCGCCCGGCCAGGCCCGTGGGCGGCGGCCCAGGTGGTGACCCGCGGGTTCCCAACCGCCTGGGGTCGAAAGCAAGAACAGGGTGGCCCTAAAACAAGGTTTCCGGCAGCGCGGGTAAAGCACCCGCACCCCACCCTGCACTCACACAGGTGCAGGGCTCGCAGTCTGAGGCGGGGCGCACCCCGCCCCGTGTCCCGGCGTCCCGCCCCAGCGATGGCCGCCCCCCGACCCGCGCCCCCGCAAACTTGTGCCCACGGCGCAAGCTCGCTGCGAGGGGTCGCCCAGCGCCCCGAGGCTGCCTCCCGCCCCTGCGCCCGGGAGCGCCCAGCGGGCAGGGCGCCGGGACGCCCCGCTGCCTCCCGCGCGGCCACCGGGCGCCCGCCTGCCTGGCACGCACGCCCTCGCCCCGGCGTCCCGGCGAGGGCTGGAGCGGAGAGCGCGGAAGGGCACGCGGGGGCACGTGCCGGCCCGCCGCCGCCCGCCCTGCAGCCTCACCCAGATCGCCAGCAGCAGCCACGCCGGCCCGGCCCGCGCCATCCCCGCCGCCGCCGCCGCCGCCGCCCACTGCCCGGCTGCCGCTCCGCTCGGGCTCCCGCGCCGGCCGCTCGCTGGCTCCGCCGCGGCCAACAGCCACGGCCACTTCCCAGCCGCTCGCTCCCCGCCTCCCAATTCCCGGTGCCACGTCTGCCAAAGCATGCGCAGCAGCGGCGAGCGGCGGCCGGGAGCGCTGCCTGCTGGGAGTTGTAGTTCGCGGCCAGGCTGAGCCGGGGCTGCGGGCGGGGACTGGGGTCCGAGGGAGTGCGGAGAGGCAGTCAGGGCTAAGGGAAGGCGATTAATTTGAGGAGCTTACTCTGTGCTTGGAGCTTCGGAAACAATATCTCACTCCGCTCACGGAAGTAAGTTTTGTATTCCTCACCTTGAGGTTGAGGAGGCAGTCCGAAAAATTTTAATAATTTGACCCCAATCAGCACTGCCTGTGAAGAATAGGAAAAGCCCTCATCCTGCCTCCCAGGCTTCCATCTGCCTTTTCTTTTTCCTCAGTGAAACATTATTGAGCTGTTGGAAAACAGTTCGGTGGCTCCTCAGAAGTTAAACATGGATTGCCATAAGAATTCCACTGCTTAAGTATATACCCAGAATTGAAAACAGGTAGTCAAACAAATGTTTGTACACCTGTGTTCAGAGGAGCACTACTTACAATAGACAAAAGGTGGAAACAGCTCACATGTCTGCCAAGGGAAGAATGGACAAACAAAATGTGGCGTATCCATATGATGGAATATTACTTAGCTATTAAAAGGAATGAAGTCCTGATACACCTTGCAATGTGGATGAATATAAAACATACTATGCCAATGAAAGAAGCCAGACACAAAAGGTCACATAGAGTACGATTACCTTTATATGAAATATTTAGGTAAATCTACAGAGACAGAAAGCAGATTAGTGGTTGCCTATGGCTGGGGAAAGGAGGGTTTGGGGAGTGACTACTTAATTGGTACAGGGACTCCTTTGGAGT